ACAAACACATCCAATAGTACAAATGTCTAACTTCAATCACCTTCCTAATTGATACGACTATGATCCAATCAATTTTCTAAAGACTGGTTCATTCCTTATATGGTTGGACTCTGAATAATTTCAATGACTAAATAGTGCAATAATACGTAATGGTGTTTAATGAAATGAGAACTTGTACACACAATATTATGTCTACATAGTATGACATGTCATTGGTACGTTTCGCTCGTTAAAATTTGAGTAGCAGCTTTCGACGCGACAGTTATTGTCATCAATCAAATGATTAAACTGAGGCAACTAGCTTAGAGATTCATCACAGTGGTAAATTAGAGTTACTGTTCGGATTAACTATGAAGCCCTAACAATTAAAGTTTAACCGTGTTTATTGTGAGGCAATTACTCACTGAAAGCAATGGCGGACGGTCACTTAATATTGTAGATTAGTTGAAGTTAGACATTAACACTGTTCAATGTCGATTTAGTGGTCTAAGGGTTAAGCTTCTGCGCGCGAAACTGAAGGTCCTGGATTTCAGCCCCGCATACGAGGTCGTGGGCACAAACTTTCAAGAAATCCCAGACTACGACGATATTTTCATCCAGTGCTTCCAGTTTCTCAATGGCGGACTAGCTTAGATTGTCTCATGAATTCAATTAATAAAGTATAGGGTTGTAAAGATTATTTAAGTTTTTGATTGAGATCATGAAGCGATTGATGTTAGGTCACTATTGAAATTCTGTAAGCACTGGACGACCGTTTCATCCCATTTTGGAACTACTCAGCAGTGCTCATCCACGATCCCGCTCGCGGAATTTGAACCAATGGCCTTCAGTCTTGTGCGCGAACTTAGCTGTTTGTTTTTATGCTCCCACTAGTGGGGTATATGTTTAGATTGTGTAATTCAGTATATTAATCATTTGCCAATGTATGTTTAACGTCATTAATAATTTCAACTTGTCACTGAGAAGTTTTAAAGGCGTTCATTATTTATCCCGTCACACCTTCAATAATTGTGATTTACAACATTAAGTGTCTTAACATTAAAGATAATGTTTATTAAATAATCATTACATAAACACATTACTAACAACTATCTATAACGGTACAAATTGAAAATATTAAGAGTTAAACACATGAGACTTATACAGATTATTCACTATGAACATATTTTACACCATAGATCCATTTCAGGTAGGTATTCATTAAAAACTAGATAGTACTGTACAATTCTTTTATTTATTTATTTAAACACATAGATATTGGTACAAAGAGTCACCAAACAGATATATGCCACATAAATCATTCGCTTGTGTGAGGGCTGAGATACTGACAGGGTGCCCAGATCGAAGTAGGTGGTTTTCTTAGTGGGACACACTCGGAGCCTTTGGCCTAAAGGTTTAATCCACAAGGTAGTGAAGCATCGTAAGGAGATGCGATCCCATGGTAGTCGGTGACCAACGATTGGTTCATACACCATTTGTTCCTTCAGGATACTGGAGCCAATGTGCACCAATGGTTTGGAATCAGGGTTTTCCAACTCTCCTAGGTGAACTCTCCGTGTCCACCAACCCGATTGAAACGTCTGCATTCGCTTTTCGTTCTCTCAATTTCGTAAACAACAGTAATGTCGCGAAAAGGTAGTACGTAGGACTTTCATGGTAGTCGTTGTATGCTCATGGCCATGTGAGAGCATTTGGGGGAAGGAGGACGGACTCTTCCCACTCTCGGCAGTACCAGGGCATTTGGGGGCAATTCTTTTAATGTAACATGAAACATTTTTTTTGTAATGTTTATCTTTGTACGGGATAATTATTCAACACAAAAAATTCACGTTTAGAATTCAATCGTTTAGCAAAATGTTGATAAGTTCTTTTCAGATTTCTTAAAAAACAAATTCCCCCCTCTCCTCCTTCTCCTCCCACCCCACTCTTCGGGGGAAATGAAACCAGTAATCCTTTGAGAAAATCTCACTATAATGCAAAACAAATAACATCTAGAAAAATAGGTCATTTAATAACTGTCAACATTTGTAAACATTTTTTATTCGCCCCTCCCCTCCCAAAAAACAATTAGCTTATATTATATTCATTAATTAAAGGTCATTGTTAGTGAGGATACTATTTTAAACTTTTATTTTTTGTATTTGTTACTAATCATCACAGAAAACTGTATCTGTTTCTATGTATCATTTCGAGTTATATTGATTATTATATTAGTCATTATCACTTATTGATCATGGTCAATTACCTTAGTTTTGATAGAGATTTGTTTCATTTAGTTGAATACATAAATATTGGTACAAGGGGGCACCAGGTATATATGCGCCACACATAACAATGAGAAGTGGAAGAGAAAAAGGATGTAAGACGCGTATGAGAAAAAAAGGTAGAGAACAATAACGACCACAGGTTAGTGTAAGGTAGTGTAGTAATGATAATAATAATAATAATAATAATGGGGGAAACGGAAAGGTACAACCAGAAAGAATTCTTTCAGTTAAGGGGGAGATACAACCACTTTTTATGAAGAAAGTGAAAGAAGGTTACAGCAGGATCACCACTGGCTTCTATTCTGAGCCAGATCTGATAACATATCTAGCCACTGTGTTGCACCATCTCTCGGATCCCAGCCAGAGAGTCGTGAAGGACCTCTCCACTTTTACCAACCAGTCCCGGTGTCGGCAAATAATGCACGACGTAGAATTCTCTGGGACGACATTCGTAGAACATGTCCAAACCATTGAAGTCGGTGTTTCAAGATGGTGACACTGATTGTATTATCATCTCTGTGCCCGAACACACGATGCCGAACCTCTGCATTACTAACATGGTGTTGCCACTGGATGTCAGCAATCCTTCGGAGACAACGATGATCGAACACAGAGAGTTGTCTAACGTCCTCAACTCGGAGAGGCCAGGTTTCACAAGCATTGAGCAAAACTTCTCTCACCGACGCGTTGTAGATCCGACCTTTTACAGCCAGACTAACATCACGAAGGTGCCAAAGATGGATCAGATTGGCATAAGCTGCTCTGGCTTTCACTATACGTGCATTGATCTCATCACTCACACCCCCACCAGCACTTATGCAGCTACCTAGATACACGAACTTCTCGACTACTTCTATCTGCTCACCATCCAGAGTGAGTATAGAATTAGAATCCTGCCAGTCTTATAGAAGAACTTTGCACTTCGAAGGTGCAAAGCACATGCCATATCTACGGACACTGATTGCCAACTGATTAAGTGCGGATTGCATGGCTTGGGCATCATCGCACAGATAGACAATATCATCCGCATACTCAAGGTCGAGAAGTCTTTCTCCAGACAGTCTTTCTCCACATCGCCATTACGTACATCAATCAGAGATGTTTCCAGAATGTTGTCGATGGCAAAGTTGAAGAGGAATGTTGAGATTGGGCAACCTTGTCTAACCCCACTGCTTGAATGGAACAATGGAGAAGGGTGGTTGTATGCCCTCACTCTACCTGAGGTGTTTGTATATATGGCCTCTAAGATGTTAATGAACTTTCCAAGCACACCGTTCTCTAATAGACAATTCTGTCCAACAAATTTAAGGCAGCCCTAATGTCAAGAGATTAAACATTGATTGATGAATAAACTTTAAACTGATTGATAGAAATTCTTTATTTTCATGATTAATGATGTAATTACGTAATTATGTGTTTTACTATGATTATAGTTAGAATATTCTTAATTCTACATAGGAATTCTTTCACCTTACTTACTTACTTACGCCTGTTACTTCCAATGCAGCGTAGGCCTCTGGGGCTACTGCCGGTCTCAATCCTGGATGAAGGCGGATGGTTGATCATGAGGTTAGCGACCCCATCCCGTAGAAAACTAGCTCGCTGAAAAAACGCTAACCTGAAAAATTATTCTTTCACCTTCATACATCGAAAATAATCACAATGAACATTATCAATTCACAACAAATACGTCCCTTAATATACGGGAAACTTTACACATGAATTCTTCTAAATTGCATTTCTTTACATACATTTTTAACCTAACCTGAAATAAAAAGAAAATGATTAGTACAATCAAAGAATAAACTGTTCAATAAGATTTTGTCGTGATAAAATCTCAGAGAAAGATTCGAGATACGCTTGTCATATTATGGAGATTTGAACCCAGGACCTATCGGTCTCGAGCACAAGCGCTTAACCACTAGTTTCGATTGACTCATGATCTCAACTATTGAAATTACTACAATCTCCACAAAACCCCTTCCGATAATAATTTCTTACGTTTGCACATAATGAGTTCTTTATAATGAGCTTTACTTGATCCTAACTTGTTACCGCCGATCTTTGAAATATGCTAATTTACTATACATTTCTATGTTATTGAACAGGCTCTGTATACGAACAAATTGCACCTACTTACTAACGCCTCTTATCTCTCATGTAGGATCGTAGGTCGCTCAATAGCATAGTCCATTCAAATCTGTCCTGGTCAATCCTTTCCAGTAGTTTCCAATTGCTTATTATTCCATTCATGTCTGCTTCTAATTTCCTGTGCAGTGTATTCTTTGGTCTTTCCTTTTCGCCTCAGGACTCTAAGCTAGTTCTTGCCTCGTGATACAGATTGATGATTTCTATAATGTATGTCCTATCCAATTTCAGAGTATTTTCCTGATTTCCTCGTCAACTAGAATCTGGTTTGTTCTCTTCCACAGTAGGCTGTTACTGATGATATCCGAAAATCGCACTAAATGATTTCATTTGTTGAATTAACTAGAGAACGCTATATTAAAAACATTGTCTTCGTTCTAAGCAATTATGGTATACATGACATCAAATATGGTTATGAAGCCTCACAATTGATATAATGTAAGCGTTCACCTCTCCTTCTTATATAATCAGGTTATGACAAGATTATTCACATGATTAATCTATTTCTAACTTTGATTTATTGATTTCATTAGATACAAAGATTTTTTAAAATCAAATCTGCTTCCTTATTAAATTGCTTTTCAGCAAACGGATGCATTATTCTGGGAGACAAGTGCTAAAACTGGGGCTAATGTCGATTCAATGTTTCATTGTATAGCTGAGTAAGATAATTCAAAAAAAATTTTTGTTGTAATATTTTAATTACACCTATTACCCCCCCCCTCCAATGGAGCATAGACCACTAATCAGCATTCTCCAACTTAATCTATCCTGAGCCTTACTTATTATTAGAGTGTAGTTTTCACTGGAAAAACTTATTTAAAACGTTTAAAGTTATTGTACTGAACAATAATACAAGTGGAAATCATTTGAACACAAAATTACAGAACATCTTAGAAAATTTGGAGAATCATACAGTAATCATCTGCTCATTAGTGACTGACTTCAAGAGGCATTTCCTGAAGTTCTAGTAAGAAACCGTGACCAGTGGAGTTCAACCAGGTCTTTTATGAGATATCAACTCACTGAGGACAAATAGTGTACGGTGGCGCAATTTGGTGGATTGGTTGAAGTCAGACATTAACATCGTTGGATGCCGGCTCAGTGGTCTAGAGTTCAAGTGTTCACCCACGAGACTGAATGTCTTGGGTTCGAGTCACTTGGGTGTGGGATCGTGGATGAGCACTGCTGAGGAGTCCTAGTCACATACTAGGCCGAAACGGTCGTCTAATGCTTCCAGTTTTTCCATGGTAGTTTAGCTTTAATTAACTCATGATTTCAACTATTGAAATACTTTATTAGCGAAATGTCAATGCAGTTTAGACAGTAATCACTTGTATACTCTATCATTTTTAGACTCATCACATTCATCAGTAGAATACATGACTATAAACACTAAAATTTACGAAGTTCAACTAAGAAATGATTGATACAAACTGGATAGTACATTTATAGTTATTAGAGTGTAGTTCTTATAATCCCCGTCGCCACTATTATAATCCTCTCATATTACAATCCAGCTATTCCTATGGCTTAGTATTCTTGGATACAAATTCACTCGACAAACTCCCCAAATCAGAACATGGTTGAACAGGAACGAAATTATATTCCAAATAGCAAGGTTAGGTAGAAGTAAGAAGCACAATAAGAGAAACATTAGTATATTTATAGTTTTTACATGAGAAGATTCTAGAATGTTCTCCAAGTATTGACTAGCACGCTGATTGGCTAATTCTTAGCCACCAATTGTTGATCGAATACTTGTTAAAAAGGTATAAAACGAGTCATCGGGGAACTAATATAACTAAGTTTTCATTTCAAAGCATTTTTCTCACCTTTTATTCCCGATAACATTGATAATAGCCTATTTTACTATAATTTATTTTGAGAATTATGAATATTATATGCTCACTAGTAACTAGTTTCAAGCCGTGACCAGTGAAGACTAATCTATATCGGGTGTGAGATAGTTAACAATCCTAGACAATGGAAGTAGAGCAGCGCAGTATCACGTATCGATTAAAGTTAAACATTAACACTGTTGGATACTGGCTCAGTGATCTTCAAGTTAAAGCATTCATGTACGAAATCGAAGGTTTGGAGATCGGATCCTGAGTATAAGATCGTGGATCAGCATTTCTGACGAGTCTCATACTAGGATGAAACTATAATACATTGCTTCCAAGTTTTCAATGATTATCTAGCTTAGATCCACTTATGAATTAGTTTAATCGTATAGTATTAGGCTTTTGTTTTTCAATTATATTTTTAACCTATTAATCAGTGATCTTGATTGCTGCTAAAGGCATAAGGGCGGTTATCACTTTCCGATTGCCCACATTGTAGAGACTCTTGATGACATGACTCAAAATCGATCACAATGGCGTCGGTGTATACATTCACTGTCCTTTCTTAAATCGTTTCATATCTTTCTTTCTACGTACTTAATCTTTCTTCCTGTACTATATCCTTATACACAATCTTATTTTTATATATTACTACTACCATTGAATTAACTAATTTTATGAATTCGGTATTCATATAATTGTGCTAATGAGATATGACAACTTGGATTGATATATATGTAGTGACCTACTTTTATCAAGAGAACGCGATTGGTTTAATGGAAACAATTATTATTATAACCAATTGTACCAGTGATTGTGCTACTGAACTTGTTTTGTTTAACTGTACTAAAGACATCTATTATTCTTCTATTCTTCCTTCCGCTGATTGTGACCTTGTACGAATTTACGTTTGCTCAGTAAATCCGCTTGTACTCCCTTGATACGATCTTGGTAATCTTTCGATACCACGAGATCACTAACAAATATACTTCGCTACAACCTTCAATTTCCTTCTGATATTTGGTACGTAACCTTCTTGCAGTGGTGATCATAGTCAACAGCGACTCGACGCCACACTACATATATATATATATGCCTGATCTCCTACATTGTAACTGATTAACTAACTGAACCTACTAATCACTTTATTTTTTCTTCTTTATAGACGTTTACTTGAAATTCAAACACCAATTTGTACCATTTCATCAACGAATTCAACTCAACAATCAAATGGTTATTCAACAACTATCAATGAAATTCATAATTCAATATCATCAAATCAATCATCGAAATCACCGTCATTTAAATTAAACCATTCAACCAAACCATTACGTAATTGTTGTTCTAGTTAAATAGAACAAACAACAACAACAACGACAACAAGAACAACAATGTAGATTGAATTGAATTTGCTTAGTTTCATCTATACTGAATGTAAATGTAAATTATTATTATTATTATTATTATTATTATTATTATTATTATTATTATTATTATTATTATTATGACTCTTATTACAATAATATAGTATAATTCAGGATGTTTCATTCAATAAGAGACTCCTATTTTTTTCACGGTTTATACACAAAAAAAAAACAATAAAGAAAAGAAAAGAAAGAAAGAAAAGAAAAGAATAAACAAACAAACAAACAGAAACTGTACGTGGAGGATTAATTCAAAATTACCGGAAGTTTGTATTCAATGTATTCAATGTTTTATTCTTATTGTTGTTGTTGTTGTTGTTGCTGTTGCTGTTATTATTCAATGTTTATTGTAATTTAATATTCATTAATACGTTACTATCGCACACATAGGGGAAGAGACACACACACACACAGGGGGGGGCGAGAGACACATACACAAACAAGCTATATTTATACATATATCTCTTTGCATTCCATAAGGAAATACATTCATTGAATGAAATTAAAGTTGATTATTACTCAAACTAAAGAGATGATATAATTATTTTTTATGTTTTTTTTCTTTTCTTTTCTTTTCTTTTCTTTTTTTTTTTAGGAAAAGTAACTTATAATACACTTTCTTATTTGTATATGTATAATTCATAGAAATACATAGCTGTGTGCTTAATGTATATTTTACATAAATGTAACTACGAATATACAATCATATTGTACTTTACAAAGTTTATCAACTTTTAGTTTAGTTTGAATCGAATGGTACTGGATTCGAGTTTCAGAGTGAACATCAACTCTCTGAGATCCAGATACATCTAGCTGATGAGTTCCAAATAGGACGAAACGTGCGTCAAACTGGATTCTATTGCTAGCCATTATCCATCATTGCTTACAAATAGCTTTTGAATTAAGGTAATATCGAGGCATACGCACAGTATACACATATGCCAATAACAGACTGATCAATTGCAGTGTTAAACCTCAATGGGAAGATACAAGTCAAACAATACAAAGTGAATTTTTATTTTAGTGTTTCTCATCCAGAAAGATTGTATCATAATCTCCATAGGGTAGGATCGTGGATACATATTATTGAGGAGTTTAATATTAGGACGAAAGAGCTGTTTAGTACTTTCAGGTTATCCAAAATCGATTGATTACTGAGTGGTGGTGATCAACGTCATGTGTGTCAAGTCCTTATTTAGTACAGAACGAATGTTATCGACCATGTTGCAATGTGGCCATCAGTCTAGGTGACTCGATACTATGTGCATTATATATTGAGATTAAATGGTGGTTAGAGGTAGTCGACAGGAAACCCTGAATATATTTGACTGTGAAGCTGGGTGACATGGGATCGAATCCGCCAGGGAGCACCAGTTCCCTCAAGATTACAGGTACACCTTGCTGATGACGAGTGCCTAGTAGCATGAAACCCGAGTCCAGGGTTTCATGTCGACTACCTCCAACCACCATCTACTTTCAGGTCTTTCACAATGGTATAGCTTGAATTAATTCATGAAATCAACTATTAAAATCACTATAATCTTCACAAAACCATTTTTCTGATCACCAACATAAGTTATTAATAAATCAAATAACTGATGAATAACAAATGATGCTATGAGTAGCACACTGATGATCAGATTTTGTTTTGTCGATACTTTTCAATTAGATCGATTTATTTTATAAGTGATTGGGTTGGTGTTCTCCGTGCTGTATTTGAGGACCTTGCTTTCTCCTTTATGTATGTTGATGCTTACTGATATAGAGGCTTCTGTTACACTAGTTGGCTTTATCTGCATTTGTTCATGTATGTGTATGGGATAGAGGGGCCAGGTCATCTGCGAAGTCCGAATCTTCTAACTGATTCCGAGCTGTCCATTGTATTTCCTGCTTTCTCTCTGCTGTCAAAGTCTTCATAATCCAGTCGACCACTAGAAGAAAGAGGAAGGGAAAAATTAAGTAGCCTTATCTATCTCTGGTCCTCACTTGGAATGCATCTTTCAGCTGCCCTCCATGCACGACTTTGCATTGTACTCATGATTTATTCGTCTCCTCAGAAGTGAGTATCCACGAAACAGCCGTTCTTTGCTTCCCGAGTATCAATAGTGATCTAGCTTAGATTGACTTGTGAATTCAACTGTTAAATTAATACAATCTTCACAAATCCCCATACTGATGTTATTTAGATTTATTTCTTAATGGGTTTAGTTATTAATCAACATTCGTTTTAATACTACTATAAGCCAAAATATTCAACACTCAGCCTGAGACCAAGCCTAGAACACTCAAACATTATAATGAGTGACTAATCATAAAACTACCTGGTTAGAATCTAACTATTCTATATTTTCTTCTTAAATCAATTAACTAGAATTGTCGAATCACGTCAATTATTACTGTCACATTCCTGACAATATTGAACATCACCAGTCACTTATGATTAACTAGAAAATTTCGGAACAAACAATCGTATATTAGACAGAAGTTTAGCTTATCGATGGATGCTTTCAATCAAGAATGAACATTAGCTGAAAAAAAATGTAAAATTTAGAGTACTTTTGTGATGTTTAATGCAATACATCCCATAGTTGATGTTCACTCTGGGACTCGAACTGAGTACTGTTCGCTACGATTACCATCGTGTTATTCATTTGTTAAAACTTTATGTCCGGATTTTTATCACGTGATTTATCCGCCAATCAAAATAAGACTTATACAATCTTAGTCCTGTACCAAACCAATGACGTTCAACCGGTATGAGCAGTCTAGCGTCCTTATCGGTCCTATGTTTGCCTAGCCCGTCCAATTGAGTCCAGAACACCAATACCAGCTTCCACTATGCGAATCGTTTATTTCAGATAAACTAGGTTTATATATCAACCAAACAGACCACAACGCAGCATAAAATACGAAATAACATATGTACACAATAATAAAGCCCAAAACTGGCTGTGAACGTGGGAGGCAGTAGTTAATCAACTGAACATAGCTTAACAACCGTAAATTGTACAATAAAAAATTATAGGTCAAAATAAAGTTTATAACAAGGGAAATATAGATATACATAATCTAGTTACCGAATATTTATACCATGAGAATATATAAATAATAATAGTTCATTAATAAGTCTCAGACATTACTCGTAATTCAATCTTCACTAGGATATAACAGTATATAGCTAGTGAGTCCTGTCAGCCACTTGCTTATGTGGTGGAGTGAAGTTTAAATTCACTCGGTATTGTTTACTTGAATCTTTCCGTCGATGTTTAGGACATCAATTGGTCAGTCTTTCATTATTGGCATATGTGCATCCTGTGTGAATTGTCTCGATATTGTCTTGATTCACAAACATTCTAAGCAAAGATGGATATTGGCAAGCAGTAGAATCCAAGATGCGTATTTCGTCTTATTTGAGACTCGTCAGTTGGATGTACCTGCATCTCAGAGTTGATTTTCATTGTGGGACTCGAACCCAGTAGTATGATTCGCTTCAAACGCCAGCGCGTTATCCACTCAACTACTAAGTCCTCAATGAGAAGATACAAGCCAAACAGTACCAAGTGAATATCATAATATAAAAGAAAGACAATAAGACCAGAAAATAGTAACCATAGTAACCAAATTTATCAAATATAAACTCTTTTGTCATTGATCAATTATAATAATGAATGAATTGTTTAACATTTAAGTGTAAAACAATTAATTTTAGATGATTATTCTTGTAAATATTATGGAACAGGGGCTAAATCAACAATACGAAAATCTTTTTGGAGACACTAAACCTTATATATTATGATGAAAAAAAGACTATCTGTTTATCCCCCTCCTCACACTTTTTAACGAAAAATGGGGGTGGTAATGAAAAACCGTGACCAGTGGAGTTCAACCAGGTCTGTTGCGAGATATCAGCTCACTGAAGACAACGGTGTACGGTGGCGCAATTTGGTGGATTGCTTGAAGCTAGATATTAACACCGTTGGATTACGGCCGGCTCAGTGGACTAGTTGATTAGGCGCCTGGCGCGAGACTGTTAGGTCCTGGGTTCGAATCTCGCGGTATCGTGGATGTGCACTGCTGAAGAGACCCATACTAAGACGAAACGGCAAACCAGTACTTCCAGGTTTTCCATGGTGGTCTAGTTTAAAATGACTCATGATTTCAATCTGTAAAAAAATTGTTAAATCAAGTATTTGTTGAATGATAAACTTGTAGTATGTACTTTTAAAGTTTTGAAAATGACTAGTAAACCACTTAAAAAATTTACAGTTTTTATTGTAGATGTTATTCAAGACAAATAGTTGTCAGGTGAGATGATGGAGGAGATTTTTAGTTTAGGTAGATAGATTATTTCTGTCTGAAGTTTGTATTGTTGATGTTGTTCAGAAGAACAATGAAAGATCCATGACTAAACCATTCAGCTCAGAGAACAAAACTTCATCAAAAAGTTGTAAGATGATCTATGTCTACAAGTCAAATGTATAGTTGATTTTGGTGGAGTTTAATGAAGTTCACATTTTTTCCTAATGTGAGTTGATGCAAGTTGAATCACCAACAAAAACCTGGAATCACTTCATTCCCGTTTTATCCAAGTTCAGGACTCCTCAGTAGTGCTCACTCACAATCTCGTACGCTGGACTGAAGTCTAGAACCTTCGATAACGCGCACGAACGCCTAACCTGTAGACTAATGAGTTAGCATTGAACAGTGTTAATGTCGATCTGTATTAGGTTAAAACAACTGTCCAGTTCTTCTAGGTTTTCAATGGTGAACTAGCTTAGAATAACAAGTGAATTCAACTAGTAAACTTATTACAATCTCCAAAACTCCCCCATGCTAGAAACTTATTCACTTACTTACGCCTTTTACTCCCAGTGGATCATAAGCTGCCAACCCATACCGTCCTAGGCCTTCCTTTCTATCTCTATCCA